CATGACTCTCAGCCAAGAGGAAGGAACAACATGCAAAGCAACCACAAAAACAAAACACACAGTCAGGTTAGTAGTATGAAGAACAGAGCAAGGAAAAAAAAAAAAGATGCACTCTTGAGGTTATTCAAAGCCACATGTTGTTATAGCTCAATGCCAAGAACATTCTTCAACAGCTCCTCAGCTGGAGGAAGGATTCTTCATGCTCTCAACCGAGACAAACAAAAGCCAGCCTGAAGGGCTCAGACAGCCCTTTCCCTTCATTTCAGGGCATCAAAATCCTTCAGGCAGCTTGGAAAATCTCAGTTGTTGGAAATGTCCACCCAGCAGACTGCACTGGAGACCAGAGTTACCCAAACAAGCCTTGCTACCTAGAGCGGAAGCCTTGGCCCACAGCACTGGTGTTTCTGAGAAGCTCAGATCCAGATGGGCAAGTCTGCACCAGGTGAGCACATCCAGACTCCATCCAGTTCCACGGCCAGAGCTCCTCCTGAGCCACGGGGAGCTCTGTGAGGGAGCATTGTGTGGGGTTGCCTTCAGTACCTCAGGAACCCGTGACTGGTGGAAACTGCAGCACACCAAGACCGGAAGGCTCGCAAAAACGTGAAGGCACCTGGGCTAGACCCCCAGTACCCCTCATGCTGGGAAGTGTCCTTCATCGTGACGGGCCATGAGAGAACGCAAGGGTGTCACAGCTCTCCTGGGCCAGCTGCCCCAGAAGAATGAGCTCTGTAAGCAAATTCCCCACTGCATGCACCAGTCGCCAAAGTTACGCTAAAAAAAATTAGAATGGTGAAGACAACTGGGTGGGATCAGGAAAAAAAACAAATTAACAGAAAAGAAAAAATCATCCCGCCTTTGCAGAAGCAAAGCTTTCTGCTTCCAGCTTCAAGGTATCTGAGCACCTCCTCAACTACTGAATGGGAGAAACAAACCCATCATTTAACTGGAAGGTGAGGGAGGAGGGAAGGGGGTTAAAAATAAATAAAAAGGTTTTATGGGATTATTTCAGAACTTGTCGTGCAGATCAGCGCGTTAAGTGTGAGACAGCTCAACGTGCAAGGGTTGGTTATATACATGACGTTAGCCTTGGAAAGGAGAGACTCGAGGGGCCCAGGTCAGCTACGCCTTCAGCTCCAACCCCAAATACACACTCATCATCTCCACTGCCACTTCCAACTTCGAAGACTGGCAACCACAGTCCTGGTGGAGTTGCCCAACTATGCCTCATGCGTACGCTCTGAGAAACACCTGGCAATTCCCCTTCCCTTTGCTGGAGGGGGAAAAAGCACTGGACAGACCCCAGTGGACCAAGGAGGATCCCCTGAAGGCAGCCACCTCCAAGAAGGGAGCAAGTGGGTGGTCTGTGCTAGAGACTTCATGTTCTCTGCAGCTTTCTGCAACTGGCTCTTTTGTCAGGTGTTGGCAATCCACATAAATGAAGGAAGGCAGAAACCATCACTGCTAGATACAATGCTCAAGTCAGTCAAGAGACTCATCTTGAGCACAGTGAATCTTGGATCAGGACCCTCCCACCAGTGCCTGAAAAGAGCAGAGCCGGGAATAGCTCATTGTCTGTGTTCACTGTCAACTGTGCCCAACCTGTTCCAGAGAGCAATCCCACTGCCCTGAGTAATATAACCAGGACTAGTCAGCAGGCAGCTGTAACCATCACCTCCTCTGCTCAGCTGACAAAGGGCTCCTGTCACTTCACAACCTCTCGTATGTTACTTGCTCTTTCAAAGGCAAAAAACCTAGGGAAACAGGCTGGCAGACTGAGGACAGCCCACCCTGACACTGCTCAACTTTAAGCACAAAGATGGGCATTTCTCACATACAGAAAGATGCTTCCCACGGGGTTTCTGAATGATTGCTTTGCCCACTGGCCTAGAAGGACAGGGCAGCAACATGGCTTCATACCCCCACAGTGGCTGGGAACCAAAAGACTTTGCAGCTACTGCTCACAAGAAGCACAGAATATTCTCCTGTTCCTCTAAGGTGAGCAGAAACCTTTTGAGATCAGACAAATCACCAGTGGCAGAGCTGGGAAGACGACTCAGGAACCCCTAAGCACCTGGCACCGTTACTGCTCTGCCCCCAGCAGAGCAACATTTCATCCCACCTTCTCCTACGGAAAGAAAATTGTAACAACAATAACAAATAAAAATGCCATAAACTTAACTGATATTTTATTGAAACTTAACAAACCTGGCCATAAAATTGAGACTGTAAGGGAGGAAATAAAAATAAACAAACAGCCACAAACTCTAGTTCTGAAGAGCACGGGTGTCTTGGAAATCATGAGGAGCGCTGGAGATGTCACTTAGAAGATATACACTGCTATTGGCACAGGGTATTTTTACAATATATGTGCATATCTAAACGGTAAATATGTCTTGCTGCTGTTGTAGATGCAAAGATAAATATGCACATACCAATGGCCCTGCATCTATGGATGCATCTGGATGTGAGGAGTAATTGCAGAGAGGCCTTTGCGCTGCTGCTCTGCTGCTTCAGCACTCTGCTGCCTACCTACTGGCCAGGTATGAAAATCAGCAGGGCCCAAAGACTCAGAGATATGGCTGAGAGGGGCTGATGCACTGGGGTGAGTGAGGGGGGCAGGAACAGGACGAGCCCTGAAAATGAACACCCTGGTATACTCCATGGAGACAAGATCCAGGAATGCAAGTGAAATTCATCCACTAGAGGAGGCTCAATTATAAACCTCAGCTGTCCCTCTGAAAGGCTGCACTGTAAACACAGCAAAGGTTTTAGTGGTCATAATTTGAGCTGGGGCTCCTCAAGAATGAAGAGGTAACACCTGCCTTTGAGCCTGTGAATCCAGGAGGGAAGAACTCTTATCTTGGCATGGAAGTCCCTTGATGTTATTACGTGTAGACGAAAACCAAACAAACCAAAAACCACGAGAAAAACAACACTTTTCAAGACTTGCAGTAGTGTGAAACAGTGCTGCTCCTTCAAGCTAAGCTTATCAAAGCCAAGACCTATCACCACTATTCCTTTGTGTTGAGCTTGTATCAAGGCAACAGCAACTTCAGAAAGAACAGTGGAAAAGCTGAAACAAGCTGTGGTGCTCAGATCTTATGACTGGGTGAAATGCCTGCAAAGACATCTGTTCCATCCCAACATTCCCGATGAGCAAAACCCAAGTCATGCTTGCCTGCAATTAAAAAATCCTCACAACTTTGACTGCTGGTATTTCTTGCACCACTTCTCCAGCTCTTCAGAGTACTGCTTCTCCAGTGTCTCTATAACTTCTCTAATGTTTTCACAGTCTCCATTTCCAGTGGAGACAAAGCCACTGAGTTTGACAGCAGGTCTAAAAGCCTGGGATGATCCAGCAGGACATGGGTTCTTTTTCATTGTCAACCAACACTCAAGACAGTGAGACCATGATCAGAACAGCCCCTCTGCTGCAAGCTAGGCCTGTGCCTGATGAAGTACATTTCCAGGCAGCACAATCCCCTCCATCAGCAGCTTAGCAAGAAGATTTTACAAAACAAAAAGGTGATCAGGAACAAAACAGCTCAGGACAACTTTGGCTGCTCTGCATGGAAGATTTCACTGAACGTTATCACCTGTGTGTGGCCCTTGAGGGCTCTGGTTGGCAACAGGGTCTGACCACATAAAATAGATTTCATTTGCCATGTGGTTTTTGTGCTGAGATTGTCCAGGCAATCAACGTGAGGATGGGGAGTTGTTAGCCCAAATGAGCCAGACATCTCAGTTTATTTGAACATCTGGCTGATAAAGCCCAACTGTGCGTATTCAGGATGAAAAGGTGTTTGACATTCAGGCCTGGGTGACTGAGGATGTGGGACCCTACTTTGAACGTGCCAGATGGTTAGACAGATGCAATCTTTGCCCTTGTCAATGTGTGGCCAATCTCTCTGACTGACTGTAGCCATTCACTGATCTCCAGTAACATGGGCACCAATGCAGAGAACAGATGGGCCTGCACAGCCACAGCAGAAATGAATTTAGCTCCTGTCCCAGGTCCCACTGCATCCAGTTCCACCTCCTCTTCTAATATCATGGCATTCCAGGGACTACATTGCTGGTCACTTCTTTCTCATGACCAGTCCTCTGCCTACTCTCTTCCCTTCCCACATGGCCTATAATGTATTTAAACTAGAAGGTCCTAAAAATTCCCTGCAAATCCAACCTTTGTTCAGGCTCCTTCCTCAGCCAGTGATCTGAAAATGGAAAAAAAGTCCACAACATAAAAGGACAGGCATCATCATTAGCTCTTCACCTCCATCCACTTTGACATTCCTCCCAGGGCAATTCAGCACATCTGGATGGCTCATGGACCTTGACACCACCATCCAAACCTTTCACAGACAGCTATTTCAGTCCTAGGATGTACAGGTTCTTGCTGCCAGGGCACCTTGAAGTAAGGGAGGTGACCCAACTTCAGATGTCCTCAGGACATGTCTTTGCTCCACAATGTGACAATGCAGGGATGCTTGGCTGAGCTGTTATATCAACATGGCTCAGCTGGGGACATTTCAATCTACAGTACAACTGTTGGAGATAAAATCCTGAGGTCCTTCCACTTATCTTCTCAGGAAAGGACTACAAGGACATCCAAACCCAGTGTCTCAGCAAGCTGACCCAGAGACTATAGCATTGCTGACAACAGGGCTTCCCCACTGCTCTGTCACTGCTGCAGCATACAGAGAGGGTGGTGGGATCTGGGTCAGGTTAGAAACACTTTGCTTCTAGCAGAAGGATCTCCATGGCCCATGAGCTCCCCTCAAGCTGACGTGCTGCTTTAGCTCTGCCACCACATGAGGCATGTGAAAAGAGGTCGATGCTTCTGGAGCACAAACAAGTGAGTTAGAAAGAGGACCCAGGAGCTCAAGTCTTACACGTTAATAACAAGACTGTTTGTCCTTCCTTGAAAGTGTAGTGTTATCCAGGGATTATCTTTGCTGTTTACTGCAGAGTACCAGCCAATTTATCTTTGAAACAGCCGTGTTACTGCCTGTGGGGAAGGCAAAGAAGCAGCCTTGCACCAGAGCACGATTTAACTGGGCAGACACTGGGGAACTGCCTGTTCTACTACATGTGGGCCAGACACAGACTCTTCCAAGCAACTTGAAGCTCTTTCCTTGCTATTGTAGACCTTTGGATCTGCCTCCAGTTGAAGAAAGAGGAAAAGAAGGAAAGTTGTGACTTTTTGGTCCGAGCTAATATGGACTGCAGGACAGCACCACAGGAAGCAGCTCCCTCCCTCAACACAGGCAACTCTCCTCTCTGTACTCCAGGCTTGAGGGCTTTAACATCAAAAGATTCCACCCACCCAGATATTTTGAGTGAGCTGTTTGGAAAATATGACATTTTCAAAACTGAAGCTAAATCTTCAGTAGTTAAAATGATGGAAGGGAAAGGAGAAAAAAAAGCAAATTCCTGCAAACCATCTGTTCCTGCAGAACTCTGTTGCATCCACCTGAGTCCTGTGAGCACCTCAGCTGAGCCAGATCAGGCTGCACACCTCTCATCACAGGCATCCCTGGGCCAGGAGGAGGTGGGAGAGATGCCTCCCAGCAGATTTCTGACCTGCAACCAAAAGCTGTAACATTTCTGCTGCAGGTGGTCATGGGAGGGCAGATCCCCAACAAGCAACACCTCCCTCTGGAAATCAAGGGGTTGTGTGTAGGGACTTCTCTCTACTGCCCAACTGAATGATCCTTCTATCACTTGTTTCTGTGCAAGTCACCTGCACGAGTCCCTGCAAGGTGTGGCAGAGCTCCCCAGCACAGAGTCATCAACCACTGTTGACCACGTTAGCTCATGGGTAATGGCTGCCTCTGCCTTCCTGCTGCAGGGCTGGTTTGGGACATCAGCCCAAGACTCATGTCATGGCTTTCTCCCCTTGTTTGATCCCTGGTTCTCCACTTTCCACTCAAATCCTCGAGATGTGGGCGCTTCTGGGGTGTGATTCCTCTTATACCTGTCACAGGAGGGTTTTGTTCACTATAGAAGCATGTCCTGATAGCAACAGCACTTGCATGGGGCACCACTGGTGGTCTATTCAATGTCCAGCTTCTCCTGCTGCACACCATCTTCTTTGTTCCTCATAATTTTCATCCTCTGATTAGCCTACCTGATAACAGGAAGCATCACACCCTGGTGAAAGGGCACCATGAGCAGACACTTGAGCTCAAATGCACAACACTGGCACATCTCACTCTCCCTCCCACCTCTAAAAAGAAAACAGGCACACAAATATTTGCATGGATAACAAAATTCACTTTTTTTCCCTCCTTTTAAACAAATCTCTTTTTTCCATCACTCATGGGAGTGGAGAACAACCAGCCAACCACAGCCCAAGATCATTTTTGGGTTGGATGTCCTGGTGGCAGATACCATGGCATGAACTAAAGCATCATTCTCTAGCAGAGGAGTTGAAATCTGAGCAAAGCACTTTGTGCCTTTGACCCTCAAAACAAACAAATGAAAACCACAGCAAATGGGCAGGAATCAGGGAAAGGTAAGGGAACAACCCATGGAGATTTCCCTGGATTGCACTGACACAAAGGGAAAATAAACTTCACACAGGGCACACTGTTGCAGGTGATCCAGACATTGCCATGTAAGCAATCAAAGGTAACCACAACAGAAAGAAAATCAAACAATAAAAACACACCCAAAACCATCCCCAAAATGGCATGAGTTAGGACATCCCAGAAATGTTGGGTTATATCCATTAGGGCCACTCATGCTTTCAGACCCAACACAACAGAGCTATTAAGAAAACACTTTTTAAAATATTTTTTTTCTCCCCCCAGGGTTCAAGCAATCCCAGCAATCTTTTTCCAGATAATTTTTCTGGTTTTGTGTTTACCATCCATGTATACAACCCCCAACACGGCACCATCACAAGTCCCAAGTTTTGATCACATTGCTTTTCCAATGAAAAACAGAACCAGGAAGGGGAAGAGAAAAAAAAAGGAGAGAAGAGAATAAGAAAAAAAAGCAAAGAAAATAAAGTACCTCCCACAACACAACCCCAAAACTGAACCCGTGTCTCTTTTTTTTTTAAACACCACAAGTGACCCAACCACAACTAGAAAATTAAAATTGAAATAACCAAAAGGAGAAAACAAGAGAGAGATTAGAGGGAAGGGAGGGGGGGAGAGGGAACAACAAGCAAAAAACCAAACACTAATGACCCAAAATAAAAAAAAAACAAAACAAAAACTAACCAGCTGAATTGGGAGTTGAGGGTGAGTTAGCCTGGCTTCCATGGGCTGACACATTGGTAGCCGTGACAGCCGTTTTGGCAGCATAAATATTGGCTTCCTCTTGAAATTTACCTATGTTCTTCTTGTACCGGATTCTCTTATTTCCAAACCAGTTTGATACCTAGAGTGAGTTTAAGAGAAGACAGAGACGTTAACGTTTCAGCTCTGGCGAGCGCGGCTGCATGAGGAAGGTGGATTAGTTCAGGTTTAGCAGTGCATATTCTTTTCTTCAACCCTGTTTTCCCAGCTGTGGAAGGAAACACCTTCTACCTGTGTGTGCCACACCTAGCCCAGGAGAAGTGGTGGGATCCCCTTGGGAGGGCTGTGCTTGTGTGGATGTGTCTGGTTCCTCTATGGATGGGATGTCCACAGAAACCACCAGACCCACCCCACAAAGGCATCAGATGGGTTTAAAAAAAACGCAAGAAAGTCAAATGACTCTGAAATTGCACAACCTGAAAATGAGTATGTATCATTTTGGAACTTTTCATTTGCCTCCTCCTCGATGTCTCTTTGACAGGGACAGACGCCCTGATTCCCAGATGCCCCTTCTCCTCCCTTTGGAGAGGCCAGTGTGACTTTCAGGGAGAACACTCAACAAATTTAGTCAGCCCTGCCTGACAAGGTTTTTTTTGATGTTACTGACACTCTGCTTTTGATCCACCTGAGTGCTATCAGTGTAAAACACCAGAAGTGTATATTCCTCATCTAGCTGAACTTGGCTTTGTGAGGTTTGGCATGAGCACGAGCCACTATACAAACCAGGAGCTCCAGGGGAAGGCTGGAGAGGCAGCAAGGGGCTTGCAAGACCTGGGCCCCAGAGAACAGGCGTGTCCTTTGGAAAGGGGGAGGAGATGTTTTTATTGTGTTTGCCCAAAGACCACTATAGGTCTGCTGTGTCTTTAAGTGCCTGGAAGTATGCTGGATGAGGTTGGTGGATTGATTTGAAAAAAATAAAGAAGCAGGCTGAACTTCAGAAGTCATGTTGGTGACTGAAAATGATGGGCCAGATCTGAAGGCAGAATGAAGCAGTGCAGCTCTGCTCATGCGAGACCTGGTGAAAGCTGTTTCCCTGTGCCTGCAGCAGGAACCTCAGAAAGCCCCAAGAGAGGTTTGAGCAGCTGATCTGAACAGGCTATCAGCACAATATCCTGGGATCAACGCTTGGAAGAAACACTGGTGGGACAATCTGCCAGGTGTCTGGATAAATACCCCAAAGTTTGCATGTCAGAGATTCAGCACAGCGATAGGAAAATGAAGTCTGTGAATTCAGGCTGTGATATCCAGGCAGAGCTGCTTCTCCAAGGAAAATGTCAGGGTACCACCATGAACTCAATCCCACTCAGTACCCTGCTGCTGCTGAACCTCTTTACTTGTAGCCACTATGTTGCAGTGAACAATTCCAGAAGACGTAGGAAATATTCAGCCTAGAGTTTGGGAAGCAGCTCTCAGCTGCTTCTTTGACAAACACTGAAGGCAGAAAACCAGGGAAATTATTTCCTTTATGCATGTCTCTAAGCAGAAGGCAACTTCCAGCTGTTACTAACCTTGTTTGAGAAAGCTCATCACTATAAAGAGGATGTGCAAATGCCAGGGGATGCTACAACTCAGCCAGAAGAGCTCCAACACTCCTAGAATTGCTTGGAGCTGCAATCTTGAGCTAGCAGATCAACATCTTTGGTGGGACTCCTGGGACATTCTCCTTTGCTTGCTGGTGAGCACATACATCAGTGCTTGCAAATGGACTGCCCAGGAACCAAGACAGAAGACAATACTGGATGTTCATCCTGGAAAGTTCATCATTTTTTCTCATCTTAGGGAGATTGTTTTGGCTTGGGTGTTGATAACTGAAGCCCCTATGCTTTTATTCCTATGAAGCTTTGTGTCTGCAGTCCTCCTAGAGCATTCAGCAGTTTCTACACAGACGTGGCTTCAGCCACCAATTCACCTGCTATTGAACGGCACGTATCCAACGCGACGCTCCTGCAGAACCAACAAAGGAAATAAAACCTGTGGAGGCTCCTGGGAGGCAAAAGGCAAAACTCAGATCAACATCCAGCCCAGATGTGAGAGCAAATACTTGGACGCCCCCAGGAGCAGGCGCCGTTTGCAAGGAGCTCCATCCCACTTCTTGGTCCGACTTTCTCATGAATGACAATGTGCTACTCCATGATCTTCCCACTTGGTTATCTTTCTACAACAGTTCTTCTGGCTTCACATGCTGGGGCTGCTGGGCAAACTCTGAGGGCCACAGCAAAGGAAGTGGGGATAAACAGCCACCACAATCCATCTTCAACTTAAAACCTCTCAAGTTAAGAACTTGCCCACCCCAATCAGCCTTGCAGTTCAGACTTGCACAAACTGATGCTGTCCCATGTTCCCACCTAGCCTCAGCAAAAACTGAGACTTGGATCTGTGTTTGTTTCTGCCTCCTGTGACTGAAGAAGGGAGGGAGATCCTGGAGACAGGCACAATGCAGCTTTGATACAGCGTGGTCAAAAAATATCCTAAGTGCAGCATTTCTCCTGGGCATTTTCTCTTTGCGAGGGAGAAGTTGTAAGTGCGAACAGATGAATTAGAAGTGAGAGGGGAAGCACCAGGACAGCTGTAGTTTTACTTAAGCCAATATGTGCTGTCTCTTGTAGGTAACTCTAGGAAGAATCAACATTTGGGTCTTTTAACCCAGGGGATGCCATTGGAGTCGCTCAGCAGGCGTTCGACATGGTGACGACACCTACCCCTTGGATGCTGTTGCTCCTGTTGAAGGCAGACACGCTCTCACAAGGACACCAGATGCTACTGCTGTCTTCAGTTTACCCAAGCAACGAACAAGCATGTGCCTGGGGCTGGGAAGCGGCCCAAGATGGGGAATGCAAAGGGATCTTAAAGGAAGTGTTAAGCTCACAAGAGGACAAGGTTACCAGAGGCCATAGAGACAGGCTTGCTCCATGCTTCTTGCTCCAAAAAGAGAGGAAACAGTATGGTTGAACACTTCGAGGACTGGCTGCACTCCTCACAAATCCCAGCAGCTCCCAGGTCAGAGTTACACGCTCCAGGAACTACACGTCTGCCTTGAATGTATGGAAATAATTCAATTTGTCTTTATTGACCACCTCTCTTTGAGGGATAAGCAAGTCAGGGAGATGTCATGTTCCGCAGCACAAGAGTAATGACAGAGAAATGACCCTGAGAAAGCCCACCCTCCTTGAGCACAAGCTATAGCCATTAGCCTGACTGAATCAAACCCTTCCCACCAGGATCTTGTCCTTTCTACCTTACTGAGCAAAATCCGCACAAGTCTTCCTACTGCCTTCAAGTCCCTTGGCTTGCAGAATGGACTTTCAGCTCAAACAAGCTCCTAGTGCAAGCCAGTTCAATGCTAATTCCCTGAAGAGAAGACTTGGCCTCTGTGGGTCATGCCACATCAGTTCTGTGCTATTAACACCTTGGCTGCACACACACAGCCATCGCTCCATGAAGTCTTCATCCCTTCTAAATCCTCTCCCAAGCTCTCCTTTTCCACCCACGGCTTCAATCTGCAAGTCTGCAGCCTGCTCTCCCATCCTCTTACACTAACTTGAGCTAAACTCATCAAGTAATTAAAAGCTCAACATTGAGACATTACTGACTTGACTGAGGTCTGGAGTGCCCTTCACCACACTGAGGTTGCCTGTTAGCAGTAGCCACTTGGGATGTATTTCTGGGGCTCTCTCACCTGCGAGACTGTGATGCCACATTTCTTGGCTAGCTCTTCTTTGGCTTCCTCACTGGGGTAAGGGTTGCTGAGATGGGAATAGAAATACTCGTTCAGGATTTCCGTGGCCTGCTTGTTGAAGTTTCGTCTCTTCCGCCTTAGCATGAAAAAAGAGGGAAAAACAGAAGGAAAAGGAAAGGGAATCAGTGCCAGGAATCCAGAAACTGGAATGTAGTTTTAGATACTCTGACTTTCCCCACTTCCCCCCCTCCTTTCCCCATTCCTGGAAGCACAAAGTACCACAGAGTCCCAGCCAGGACGCTTCTCATCTGTACCTTGCTAGTGACTCCTCTCAGCATCTTCCGAGGCACGTTAAGTCTCCTTCTCAAATTATCACAGTGTCCTCTGGCTCACGGACAAGTCTTAAAATTTAAGGCATCGCTGCTACTCTGCCAAGCTCCAGGCTGAGAGAGCAGCAATGGATAGATCCTCAAAGTTTGTTCCATTTACAGCTGGGTACTACCTCTCTGCTACCACCTTCTACCCATGGTGTAGCTGCCTCTCCTCTCAAGCTAAAGCCTGAGCCACAGCCAGCTGGGGGAGCGAAATAATTCTACAGCAAATTGAAAATCTGGGACAATAGAAACAGAAGGAAAAGAATAGGAACCTAGAGGGAACAGGATGGGCTGGAGGACTAGCTTTCAACCCCAGCTGAAGAGCAAATTGTCACCAAAGAGGTTTGCTGAAATATGCCACAGAATTTCCTTCTGCTGGGGCAAAAAGAGCATGTGCAATTCTCAAGGTACAGCTGGTACCCTCTCTGAGTCTGAGGCTGGATGTATTGTATTACTGTCCACTCCCTTGCTGAGCCACAGACAACTAAGGAGAAGGAAGATAAATAGCTCCTGCAGCTCAAGGCCAGGAGACATCTACCCTTCAGATGGAACCTGCATTTACTCCAGAACCTCAAAACACCTCTTCCAGGTCTGAGCAACATTGCACAGTGGGTGGGGAGAAAAGTTCAGGGCACGAACTTACCGTGCGTCCAGAAACCGGGAGCGCAAGATCATGACAGCTTCACACGTGCTTTGCTTCAGCTGCATCTGGATGGAGCTGAACTTGCGGTGGATGATGCTCACCATCCGCTCTATCTCCTTGGGTGAGATAGGCCGGGTCCGGCTCTGCTCACGCAGCAGGTTCATCACGTGGGTGGTGAATTCGTTGCACGCCTGGGATGGCAAGAAAAGCAAAAGAAACCCCAGGATCGGAAGGTCATTCGTGGGTGTCAAGGACAGTGCAGAGGCAACGCTGCTCCAGAAGGAGTTGCCAGTGGAGGCCTCAATGGCTGGGGCTTTCTAGGGCAAACCAAGAGCAAGACCCTGCTGGTACGTGGGAGAGAGATAAATTTCCCTCATCTGCCAAGCAGAAGGCATGAGAGACTCCCAGCAAACATGATGAGAAAGGCAGGAGTCAGTTTCTTTGCTCTCAGGGATCACGGATGGAGCAGGTGCAGGTGAAGCCCTATGACTGCTGGAAAGCATGAAGTTTCAGCCACTGCTTTTCTGTTTGGAACGGGAGGAGCTACAGATGTATCCGAGGAGGACCATGAACCTTCTGACCTGCTGGCCCAGCTGCAACCCAGCACCTGTGTCCTGCAGAGACCCTTGTGCTTCACAGAAGCAGCTCCCCGAGACAGGGCTCTGCTCTGCTCTTACCACATCTGGTAAGAAGTAAATAATGATCATAATTAAAGGCTGAGTGAAGCAGGAACCCTGACAAGTCAGGGCAAGCAGGTGAGAATCCCAATTAGTTTGCTGCTGGCACAGCACTGTCTGGCTGCTCCTGCTGCCCCCGTGCCATGCTGCGAGGATGGGGCAGGAAGGAGGTGGGGGGAGAAGGGAGGGATTTTGAGGCTGGATGAAGGCTGCTGCATTGCCCTCTCCTCCACACCCATGAGAACCTCATGGGCACGACAGAATCCTCCAATTCCCCAAACTAGTCTGGGACCCAAGCTCCAAAAAACAGGTTGAGAACAGCACTTAAGACACTAGTAGGTCAAGAAACCATCAATGCTTCTAGAACACAGGCAGCTGCTCTGGGGACAGTGTCCCCAGATCCCACCCCAGGATAGGGAACAAGAAGCTAGCAGGGGAAAGCAACAATGGTTTTGTGGACTGGTGACATGGGCTTGACTCACTATCTCCCACCCCATCATTCTAAGCTCCTCCAGCAGTTTCTCCCCCTCTAATCATCATCCCCAGGGCCTGCCCATGACTGGTCCAGGAGGTGCTGAATTCCCACCCACAGCTCAGACCCATGACACAGATGTCCCCAAGGACATCAGAGCCCCTCCAATTGCCCATCACCAGCTTCAGCTGACAGCTCCCATCTCCCGGGGTGAGTGCTGGCTACAAGAGCTCTCAGCCAGCCGCCTCTTTGCTCCCAGACGCCTGAGCAATTTCAGCTCGTCTCCTCTTGGCGTGAAATAAAGAGCATTAAAGGCAAAATTGCCGGCGAGTGCTGTGACAGCAGCAGCCAGGCTCCGTGAAAAGCTCCCCCCAGCCACCAGGAATGGGGCTGGAGAGAGGGGGGTGGAGGCTGAGAAACCTCAAGCCCTGGCTTTGCAGGACTGCGAGTGATGGAGACATGGCCTGGCACAGCCACTTGCAAAGCAACTCTGTGGTAAAAACAACCCCCTCTGTGGGGTGGGAGAAGGAAAGATGTGGTGGCCCATCTCACCCCACGGGGCTGGTGTGAAGGCTCCTCTCTCCTGTGTGTGCCTTTGGGGACCAAAACTGATCCAGAAACAAAAACAGAAAAGGAAACAAATAAAAAACCTCCCAAAAGGGGGGGAAGGAACAGGTCCTTCCCTGAAGCCTGTGCTTTGCTGTGCCCTTGGAGAGGGGTCCTCTGCCCTTCACGCTGTCTCCTCAGGACTGGGTGACAGAGGACATGGGGTCTCTCTCTTTGGCCTGGGGGCTAAAAGACAAGCCTTGACATGCTCTCCACTTCTACCCATGTGATAGGACTGAGGCTCTCTCACGCCATACCCCCCCACATCCATGCCTTGGGGACTGACAGCAAGGGCTGAGCACAGCCACCCAAGGTCATCTGTCCAACCTGCTTCCTGTCAGCTCCCTCTGCCCTGCCACCCCTCTTCCTCTAACACCCTGCAAAATGCCTTTCATATTGTGACCACACTTGGCTTCTCCAACACCAGAGCCCTGCCTGGCCACCCTGACTTCAGGTCCAACATTGGAGCATGCATCTGAAGTAGCTTCACACCACTCCAGGGTGCAGGTCTGAAGTTGCCGACTGGCAGCTTCACCTTGGTCAGTGTGGCACCTGAAGGGGCAAGAAGTGCCCCCAACCCCACCATACAATCAGTTAGCTGAGTAAAATGGGGGCCAGGCTGGCTTGTCTGTACAGACCCTGGCACTGGCAGCCGCTCATAGCCCCAAGGCATGGGCAGAGATGGCGTTAAACCACAGACCTGAAACCCCCCTGGCCCTGCCTGCACCCAAAAAGGAGGGATGCTTTCTTACTCCATAAACCACAGCCTTGGGGTTGAGACCACATTCATCACAAGGGCAAGCTGCATAGCAGCAGAGAGAGGTCTGCAAAACATCTGGAAGCACTTGAAAGAAACTGTTTTTGAGCCTTGGCCTAAGAAGCTTTTCGTGCAATTGTCAGTGTTACCAATAGCTGCATTCATGACCCAAATAGTTTTATTTTTCAGAATTATTTTCCTCAAGAAAAAAAAGCTACTTTTTTTTTTTTTTTTTTTCCCCTGGATAAGGAACTCTTCACACAGAAAAAATATTTGAGGAAGATTTTGACTCAAGCCTTCCTTGGAAAACTGCCTGCACCGAGGCCAGCAGCTCAAAGAGGATTTTCCCTTCATAGGGCAAATTTTTGGCAAGATATGAAGGGGACGAGTGAAAAGTGAAAATCAAAGGGGCAACCCATGCCGAGCCTATTCTTGTGGCACACCCCAGCACTCAAACCCAGCCCTCCCAACCCTAAAAAAGCACGTTTGCAGTCCAACACCAAGCACCAGTTTGCATTTGCTCCTAACAATAGATGTCAGCAGCGATCCAGGCTCTGTACATGCAGGCTGCGATGCCGGCAGCAGCTCTCCCGGCCGCCCTGGCTCCTGCTCCCACTTTCCCTGGGCAGCCCTGCCCTCCGCCGCGAAGGAGCCTGTTACCTGCTCATATTTCTCCAGCTCCGTGTGGTAGATCTGTCGGATCTGGGAGAGTTTGGCTCTGTAGTCGGAATGCTCCACCGAGTTGTCGGAGCCGGCTCCTCCTGATGCGGCGGCGGCGGCAGCGGCGGCGGCCGAGCCACCTCCTTTCTCGGGGCCTGCTACCCCCTCAGCCAGGAGCATGTTGTCTAACCTCATCAGCTGGGGGTCCGTGGGCTCCTCTTCCTGTGCTCCCCGGATGCTCAGCACTGCAGGAGACAAAAAGGGGAGAGGTGAAGCCTGAGTTGTGCCCAGGGCTTAACTCGAGGAAGGGGATGCTCATCCAAAATGGGGTGCTCATTGCAGGCTGGACCAGCATGGCTTAATCCTCATCCAACAGGGCTTTTCTTCCCTTCCCAAGTGTACCCTGAGAGGCAGTTGTGCTCCAAGTGTTTGTCACCAAGCACAGTTCCTCAGCTGTCCAGACCAGCAGCAGTGACTGGGACATCCCAGCTCCCTGTTCCCTTCCCTGCCTGACCCCCTCCTTCCTGCAGGGAAGAAGGAGGGCAGAACCAGCACAGAGCCCACTGCAGAGGTAACACAGAAAGCCACAGTCTGTGTTCCAGTGTGCAGCAAAACTGCTAAGCAGCACCAAGGAAAAACCCAATAAATGTACCCATTCTTGCTGCCAGAAGTGACAGAGACCACATCTGGATTCAAGCAGGGGATGGGAAGTCAGGAGTGTCTATCCTAAGCTCACTCTGGGGTCCTCTCATGTCACCCAACAAGGAATTTACAGCCCGATCCTGCACCGTCTGCATCAGCCAGCAATCCCAGATAACAGAGGAAGAAGCAAGGAGCCCAGAGCTGATTGTGCCTCAGTTGCCCCATCTTTAAATACAGATGGAAAGGGCTTGCAAGGCCATGCTTTTACCCACCCAGGGTAAAAAAAAAAAAAGCAAAAACCTGTACAAAATACATTTTAGTCTTTGAAAAACATCTTTTCTTAAGAATCTGATAATTTCAGTAAAGTCTAAACCGTGTTAAGAAAAGGGGTGACAATAAATCAATCCTCCTGGACTGACTTGCCAAGGAGAGAATTTTCCTCCTCTCTTTGTACTCCTCATCTCAATTATTGCTTCAAGTAAAAGTCATCCTCCTTCATGGGCTTTCTGAGAAAAAACACATGGGAGCATCCTGGCTGCTCTGAACTAGGCTGACCTAGAAGCATGTCCCAGGTCTGAAGGATGGAGATGCCCTTTGTGCCCCTTGTGTGTCCCCCCATGGTCTGTGTTTGAACACAGAAGCATCACCCGAGATTCCTAAGTGCACAGCTGGAAATTAAATAAAATAAATCCTTGATGAGTGATCAAAAGAGGCACTTCCTAAGAGGAATGGAATGCATTTCCCTGTCTTGTCTGGCACATGAGCAAAAAGTACTTTGTAAAACACACACACTTGTGCACATCCAGAGCTGAGTAACACTGTGTGGATTTTAATAAAGCTGTGCCTGCTTACGCCTGAGGTGAATTTGTACCCCCCCTTGAATCTGCAGCACAAACAAGAATGAGTGTTGTTTCCTGTCATTTCAGAAAGAAAGTCCAAAATCAGTTTGTAATAAGACGTAAAACTACAGCAGCTAAAATACCACAGACTATGTTCTTCCTCACTCTGAAATAAGTTAGAAAAGGATATAGCTATTACCAGTACAAAACTGAAGTAAAAGACCCTATTGAGAGGGTTTGGCTAATGCTAAAAAGAGCTTTTTTTTTAAAGCCTCAAACTCTACTGAATTGATTATTTTCAGGACTCTAGCATTTATTGGCATTTTTGTGATTAAAACATTCACTGTCAAGAGAGATGGGAAGGTCAGGGGGAAAGAAAAAAAAGACAGAAAAAAGCCAAACAACAGTAAATTTGACAGTGAGATGAGCTAATAATAAATAATTCCACACCAGGGAAGATTGTTTCTATATGGAGGGAGGAGGGCACAGTGCCCAATTAGGAGCTGGGTGCCAGCTGCTGAGCCCTGAGACAGCCAAAATCCTTAAAAAGAGAAGAGGGACATGGGGAGGTGACAGGCTGCAGGCAAGAGACAAACTTGCTATGAAAAGAAGAAAGGAAAAAGGATAAACTCCCATTCTTCCAGGAGAAAAAAAATAAAAAGAAACTGCTAAATGAAAGCACATCAAAAGCCCAAACACAAATGGAAAACAACACAGTTCAAAAAAAACCAAAATAAATTAAAAATCCCCAAATAAACAAATCAAAAGCAGAGTTGCCAAAACAGGTGCATCTGAATTTCAAAAGGGAAATATTTTTAGATTAGAAGTCTCAGGAATCATTGACCTGACAGGTAGGCACGAGTGATTAATTAGTTGATGTTTGGAAAGCTGCTTCCCAATGAAAAGGCCTGAGCTTTCTAAGCGTGCAAGATGCGCAGCCCAGCACCTGCTGGGTGTGTGTGGATCCCCCGTGTCCTGCCTGTGTCCCTGAGACCTGAACCCAACCAGGGAGCGTGTGGAGGTGGCCTGGGCTTGGCTGCCCACTCGGAGTAACGCTGGAGAGCAAATTAATGGAAAGGGCAGCGTGTCTGAGCAGAACTGATGCTGCCTATTTATCCCTGGAAGGCTGCGCTCAGCCAAGGAGAAGACAAAATGATTATTTAAAAGCTCCTGTTTTATCTTTCCGGTGCTGTCCAAGGCTCCAAACACACCTCCTACCAGGATGTCAGGCTCCCTAGCAGCTCCGACTCTCCAAAATGCTCCCGTCACCCCCCGTTCCACTGGCTGGGGGGATTGGGGTGAGCAGTGTCTGGGCAGCCCATCGCAAAAGGTCCCCACTCTCAGCAGGCTCCCACCTCTCCCCACCCAATTAAAATGAAATGAATGAAGGAAAATGATCCTTGGTGGTCCAGGAGCCACCCAGAGTGGGGGGCTGCAGATCTGCTCCCACCCAAGCCCTGGCATCTCCAGGACCTGCCATTTGCTGCTCCTGATGAAACAGAGGAGGGGAAAAAATAAAATAGGAAGAACAAAAAGAAAGATAAAGACTGGCAGCCGGGGGGAGGAAAATTCATGCAAGACTTTCTGTCCTTGGCCGCTTTCCTTCCAGGAGCCACCCAGAGTGGGGGGCTGCAGATCTGCTCCCACCCAAGCCCTGGCATCTCCAGGACCTGCCATTTGCTGCTCCTGATGAAACAGAGGAGGGGAAAAAATAAAATAGGAAGAACAAAAAGAAAGATAAAGACTGGCAGCCGGGGGGAGGAAAATTCATGCAAGACTTTCTGTCCTTGGCCGCTTTCCTGCTGGCTTGGCAGCCCCCAGAGCCACGGCGAGTGCCACTAGAGGGGGCTCGGCCCTTGCCATGGTCCCCCACTGCCTCAAAATGCTGCTTTATATATAAATACACATACAAATATATATATATATATATATATGTGTGTGTTTGAAAAGCACAAACACGTGGGGAAAGAAAAAAAAGACAGAAAAAAGCCAAACAACAGTAAATTTGACAGTGAGATGAGCTAATAATAAATAATTCCACACCAGGGAAGATTGTTTCTATATGGAGGGAGGAGGGCACAGTGCCCAATTAGGAGCTGGGTGCCAGCTGCTGAGCCCTGAGACAGCCAAAATCCTTAAAAAGAGAAGAGGGACATGGGGAGGTGACAGGCTGCAGGCAAGAGACAAACTTGCTATGAAAAGAAGAAAGGAAAAAGGATAAACTCCCATTCTTCCAGGAGAAAAAAAATAAAAAGAAACTGCTAAATGAAAGCACATCAAAAGCCCAAACACAAATGGAAAACAACACAGTTCAAAAAAAACCAAAATAAATTAAAAATCCCCAAATAAACAAATCAAAAGCAGAGTTGCCAAAACAGGTGCATCTGAATTTCAAAAGGGAAATATTTTTAGATTAGAAGTCTCAGGAATCATTGACCTGACAGGTAGGCACGAGTGATTAATTAGTTGATGTTTGGAAAGCTGCTTCCCAATGAAAAGGCCTGAGCTTTCTAAGCGTGCAAGATGCGCAGCCCAGCACCTGCTGGGTGTGTGTGGATCCCCCGTGTCCTGCCCGTGTCCCTGAGACCTGAACCCAACCAGGGAGCGTGTGGAGGTGGCCTGGGCTTGGCTGCCCACTCGGAGTAACGCTGGAGAGCAAATTAATGGAAAGGGCAGCGTGTCTGAGCAGAACTGATGCTGCCTATTTATCCCTGGAAGGCTGCGCTCAGCCAAGGAGAAGACAAAATGATTATTTAAAAGCTCCTGTTTTATCTTTCCGGTGCTGTCCAAGGCTCCAAACACACCTCCTGCCAGGATGTCAGGCTCCCTAGCAGCTCCGACTCTCCAAAATGCTCCCGTCACCCCCCGTTCCACTGGCTGGGGGGATTGGGGTGAGCAGTGTCTGGGCAGCCCATCGCAAAAGGGCCCCACTCTCAGCAGGCTCCCACCTCTCCCCACCCAATTAAAATGAAATGAATGAAGGAAAATGATCCTTGGTGGTCCAGGAGCCACCCAGAGTGGGGGGCTGCAGATCTGCTCCCACCCAAGCCCTGGCATCTCCAGGACCTGCCATTTGCTGCTCCTGATGAAACAGAGGAGGGGAAAAAATAAAATAGGAAGAACAAAAAGAAAGATAAAGACTGGCAGCCGGGGGGAGGAAAATTCATGCAAGACTTTCTGTCCTTGGCCGCTTTCCTGCTGGCTCGGCAGCCCCCAGAGCCACGGCGAGTGCCACTAGAGGGGGCTCGGCCCTTGCCATGGTCCCCCACTGCCTCAAAATGCTGCTTTATATATAAATACACATACAAATATATATATATATATATATGGGTGTCTTTGAAAAGCCAAGCCACGTGCTTTGTCCCCGCTGCAAAACTCTCCCTGGGTGACCATGGAGGGGACCTGAGGAGCGTGTCTGCCCCGTGGCTTTA